CGGTGGTGCGGACAAAGGTGTCACCGGCCGCTGCCGCGCCACGCGGGGGTGCCCCCGTTCCGCGGGGGTGCCCCGGTTCCGTACGGGAGCTCCGGTTCAGCGGGGCCGCCCCCCCCCGTTCCTTTGGGATGCCCCCGTTCCGTAGGGGTGTCCCCCGGTTCCACAGGGCTGCTCCCAGTTCCGTGGATAAGCTCCCGTTCCACGGGGGCGAACCCCCGTTCCCTGGGGGGGAGCCCCGGTACCGTGAGGCTGCTCCCGTTTCGTGGGAGAGCCCCGGTTCCACGGGCCCGCCCCCGTTCCGTGGGGGTTCCCCCCGTTTCCGTGGGACTGCTCCCGTTTCCACGGGACATCCCCGGTTCTGGGGGGCTGCCCCGGTTCCGCGGGGGTGTCCCCGTTCCGCGGGTGAACTCCCCCGGCTCTGCCCGCCCACGTTCTCCTCCTCCCGCGGCGGAGGCTGGTGGCAGATGGGATGAGAAAAACGTGTGAGAGAACAACCAGGCAGCAGAAGGAGCCTTGGAAAACTGGATTTTTGGGAACTGCTAGTTCAAGGCTGCGCCCAGACTGGTCTGTTTAACAGCAGTTGGTGGGTGTCCTGCTTTTAAACGTTGTTACACGTCTGGGTTTTGCCTCCGTGGTGCCCTGTGCCCTGAGTTTTAAAATTTTATTGTGCTGCTTCTGACAGCATCATCATCATTGAACCACCACAGCATGGTTTGGGTTGGAAGGGACCTCAAAGCCCATCCAGTCCCACCCCCTGCCATGGGCAGGGACACCTTCCACTAGCCCAGGTTGCTCCAAGCAGGGATGAAATTTGACATAGTTAATATTAATTCTGAGCCATATATCCAGAATAAAAGGATTAGCATGTGCAACAGGGTATTTTTAATTACCTAATAACCAGTAGAGCATCCAACAGCAAACCAGGGTGTGATGTAGTTGGCTCTAATCCATTGCTTGCTCAGGGTGATGTGTGTCTGTAAATACATTCATAAAGGCTAATTAATTGTATGTGTTTTTTTAAAAACCCACTTCAGCAGCCTTTGATGATGCGGTGGAAGAACGTGTGATCAACGAGGAGTATAAAATATGGAAAAAGAACACCCCCTTCTTGTATGATCTGGTGATGACCCACGCCCTGGAGTGGCCCAGCTTGACTGCTCAGTGGCTTCCTGATGTCACAAGGTAAATTAATCCTTTTGCTTTCTAGTTAAAGCAGAATAGGTAGTAAATCCAGGATCACTTTTTGTTAAAGTAAGGCAGTGTGTAATTCCTTTCTGTCTTAATAACCCCCTGCCTTGCCAACAGCAAATTGAGGACACTCAACACCAGAGATAATCAGTACAGACATTTTTAATTTGGGAAAATATCTTGTATTATCGAGGTGTTTTCACACATTTGATTTTAATGTTTTTCTTATTCCAGGTTCACCCACCCCTTCAATAAGCAAAAAACTCATCAGAAACAGAGTTAGATATAATCTGAAGAACCAACATTTCGTCCTAAGCTCCCATAACCACGTTCTGAGTTGTACTTGAGCTGCTAAAATCTCTTAAAGGAAGGCAGGGGAGTGGTGGTCTGTTGTGCTGAGAGAGTTTTAGGTTGAGCTCATAAAATCCCAGACTGATTTGGGTTGAAATGGAAGTTGTAGATCATCCATGTGTCGTGCCATGGCCAGGGACACCTTCCACTAGCCCAGGTTGCTCCAAGCCCTTTCCAACCTGGCCTTGGACACTTCCAGGGATGGGGCAGCCACAGCTTCTCTGGGCAACCTGTGCCAGGGCCTCCCCACCCTCCCAGGGAAGGATTTCTTCCCAATATCCCATCTAAATCTGCTCCTTTAACTGTGAAGCCATTCCCCTTTGTCCTGGTACTCCATGCTCTTGTAAAAAGTCCCTCTCCATCTTTCTTGTGGGACACCTTGAGCTGTGATAAGTGATTTCCTCCAGAGGAAGCAGGTTTTTTGTTGGGACAGGAAAACAACCATAAATTTCAAGATCCTTATTCTGTCAGAAACCACAATAAAAAGTGTTGTAATCAGCCCAGTGGTTGTGACCCCTGCTTTGCTCCTCTCCCCTCACAGACCTGAAGGCAAAGATTTCAGTATCCACAGGTTAGTCCTGGGCACCCACACCTCAGATGAGCAGAATCACCTGGTCATAGCAAGTGTGCAGCTGCCTAATGATGATGCCCAGTTTGATGCCTCACACTATGACAGTGAGAAAGGAGGTAAGACCCCAAAGGGGTGGGTTTTAACCATATTTTCCTTCCCTTCCCAACAGAAAATTCGCCTTCTCTCAACGTTCAGGCAGCAAGATTCACTTCTACTTCTCAACTGAACCATTTATTTCTGTGTTACCCCCTTAATGACCAGATTAACTGACAAATATGCCCCTTTGTGGATAAACACTCTGGTTTTTGAATGTATGTGATTTCTTAAGAATCTAATGATGAAAACAGAAGGTGGGGGCTTATTGCAAAAGCATTTTGGTCTGTGGGAAACCTCACCCCTCCCTATTTCTCATCAGGAATTGACATTGAATTCCATGCAGTGCTGCTTATGGGTATTTTTACTGTCACTTTTGCACTGCATAAACTCTTCCAATGAGAAAGTCACTCATGTAAAAGAATATTCTTATATTCTTTTACAGCCTGATAGCTGTGCCAGCCCCTGTTTTATTGTAGAAATTGGTTTCTATTGTGTTTTATGCAGTGTATCAGGCTTGAATTGGATGTTTCCTGTAACCTTTGTGGGTGTCAGCACTGCCACAAGTTAGACATTTCTCATGTTTACTTGACTGAATCAGTCTTTCCACCTGGTGAAAGTCCTTAAATGATCCAATGTTTGCCCTTCTTTTTACAGGAAGTCTGGATTGTGCAATGAGTATTTTGATCTTTGGGCCTTTTAAGTGTTGTTCATGAGCACAATATTGTCTCATAAATACTTGGTTTCTATTCTATTTTAGTATTTCTCAAAAATACATACTCCAATTTAAAAACAAACCCAAACCCCTCCTTTTGGCCAGAATTGTGCTGTGAAATCTTATGAAATACTAAGTTACTGTGACTTTTAAGTATAAAGATAAGGGAGCTTTAGCAGGTTGTATTTCAGACCCAACTGCAACTTGATTTTACCAGAACTTGTCTATTTTGCAGTAAGAGCTTGGCAGCACCAGCTGAATCTGAATCCTTGTGTCTTGATCTGAAACTTCTTATTCACAACTCCTGAATTCTTATTTCTAGAGTTTGGAGGCTTTGGGTCAGTCAGTGGGAAAATTGAGATTGAAATCAAGATAAACCACGAGGGAGAAGTGAACAGAGCCCGTTACATGCCACAGAACCCCTGTATCATTGCCACCAAGACTCCATCCAGTGATGTCCTGGTCTTTGATTACACCAAACACCCTTCCAAACCAGGTGGGTGCTGCTTTGTTCTCACATACCAGCCAGCCCTTCCCAAAGGAAACCTTGATGTGGTGAAAAAGAGCTTAAAAAGTTGCCTGGATTGCCTGTCATTTGGGGGTTTAGGGCAAAGGGGGTGTTTAGTGTAAGGTTATTTTGTATGAAGCTTCCAGATGTATCCATGGAAAGATAAACCTTGTGCTTTTGCTGGTTATTTTGTCGCCTCACTGTGTGTGGTGGTAGAAGGTGGGTTTTTTTGGAAGCTGTGATTTCTTTGGTGGGTAGCTGAGCTGTTCCCCTTGATATCCTGTCAAGATATTAACCTATGAACTCATCAAGACAGTACAGAGTAAATAGTTTTGCCACTTGTGGGGAGGATCAGAAGTGCCTTTGTTACTTTAAAAGTGCAGTTACAGATGATGAGGGAAAGAAAAATATCCCACCAGCAGTTTAGGAGGAGTTTTTGGAGCAGTGAGAGATGAGCTGCTCTTCCTCCATCCAGCTGGACCAGGTGACTCAGGCCAAAGCATGGGGAGGTGGCTCCTGGGCTGCTGAAAATGGCACAGCAAAGTTTAGTAAAGCACAGTAAAACTTAATGCAGATATTCCAGGATGTGCTGGAAGTGATCCCAGGCACTGGAGTTCTTGCACTGCCTCGTTACAGATCCTTCTGGAGAGTGTAACCCTGACCTGCGCCTTCGTGGGCACCAAAAGGAGGGTTATGGGCTGTCCTGGAACCCAAACCTCAGTGGGCACTTGCTCAGTGCCTCTGATGATCATGTGAGTACTTTAAATAGAGCTGAAACCTGCACTTTGTGTGCCCTGGGAAGGTCAGGAATGTTCTGGGTTTGAGGGGGAGGAGGAGGAGGTGGAGAGATCATCTGTCTGGAGTCGTAATTTTTTCAATTTCCCGTTGTTTCAAAGACCATCTGCTTGTGGGATATCAGTGCTGTTCCAAAAGAAGGCAAAGTGGTGGATGCAAAGACCATCTTCACAGGCCACACAGCAGTGGTGGAGGATGTATCTTGGCACCTGCTCCATGAATCCCTTTTTGGATCCGTTGCTGACGATCAGAAGCTCATGATGTAAGTGAGGGAACTTTTCCCATTTGCTGCTTAGTCCCTTGGGGAAAGGGGACAGGAACCTTTGTTTCAATTCCATGTTTTTTTCATTCCCAGCTGGGACACTCGGTCAAACAACACCTCCAAACCCAGTCATTCCGTGGATGCTCACACAGCTGAAGTCAACTGCCTTTCCTTCAACCCTTACAGTGAGTTCATCCTGGCCACAGGATCAGCTGATAAGGTACATCCACCTTGAGCTTGCAACATCCTTGTCCTGTTTCTGATGTGTGAGTGTGGATGTACATGTTGGTTACTTCAACAAAACGTGGTTTTGTGTTTTTTTCACAGACTGTAGCTCTGTGGGACTTGAGGAACCTAAAACTGAAGCTGCACTCCTTTGAATCACATAAAGATGAAATATTTCAGGTATAACAAAATGTCTTTATCTTTTATGCACATAGAGTTGGAAAAATAGTCTTTTCTACTCTCTTTTTATTAGAGATACTTTCACTTTAAAACTCA